AAGGTCAAAGAGGAAACGCCTACCACTTCCTGCTTCTTCTTCAGCCCTAATGCAACCCCTCTTCCTGTTTGCATGCACAGAGAATTCCAATCAGTTCCTCACACATCATCAATATCCACCCCAGGCACCACTTCAATCAGAGGTCATAGACAGCCCAGCCGCCATGGGTCCTGTGCTCCTTTCCACGTCCTCAATAAACCTGTTCGTTTTGTACTTTTGCTTCTCTATTGCTCCAGAATACTCTAATACCATGCAGTCACCAATTCCCTCCTGATTTAAACTCAGAAACGGCCACCAACTCTGATACTTTTGACCCTGTGTATGGGGAAGCGAACAGCTGAATCAAACAGGTTATTATCAGCTAGACAACAGGAAAGAATAGAACCTCCTTGATGACCCAGAAAACAGATGTGATCACCAAGATCACCAAAAAAGACTGGGCATGGCAGACACAGTCATCACTGACATTTGATAGTGACAGAAATGTCCTGTATGAACAAAATTTCTGATACAAAATGTAAGTGGAAAAAAATTGGTCCCAGGAAGGTTTCAGTCGATGGGAAATAAAAAGGGGAAACATTGGAAATAGCTTAACTGAGCATTAGAGGGGATCGATCCAAGAATTAAATTGACTTAACAGAGTCCATTCCAGAAAACCCATTCCCAAGGAAAATTCATCAAAGTCATGTGCTTCTGAGTTTTAAATATGTGTTTAAAAAGCTCTGGTGAGCTGGGTGTGGTGGTGCATGCCTGTGATCCCAGCCCCTTGGAGGCTGAGGCTAGAGGATTGCAGGATGTTTGAGGACTCTGGACTACAGAGTCTCAGTAAAGCAAACAAACCAAACAGACCAGATCAGACTAGATGAAACCAAACCAAACCAAACCAGACCAGACCAGACCAGACAAACCAGACTAGACCAGACCAGACAAATCAAATCAGAACAAACCAAACAAAAAACAAAACAAAACAAAAACATGAAAAAACAAACACAAACCCAGTAAGAAAAACAAAACTCCAAAGAGCCCCATGGCTATTCCCCCAAGCTGTCACTAAGGAAGCAGGAAGCTGATCTTCATGCAGTGGCACCTGGTAGACACAGGAACATTGTATCCTGTGACAATCCAGGTTGGGTTTTATTATTAGATTATTATTATCATTAATTTGATTTGGGGGCTCACTTTGGGCCAGGCTGGTGTAGAATTCATGGCCTCTTGAAGAGCCCCTCCCCCACCAGGCTTTCATGATTTTATTTTATATATATAGTCTTTTTTGAGACAAGGTCTTGCTATGCAGTTCTGGCTGGCCTTGGGTTCACTCTGTAGTCCAAGCTGGTCTTGAATTCATAATAATCCTCCTGCCTCAGCCTCCTGAGTGTTGGGATTACAGGCATGCACTGCCACATCTGGCTTTTTCTTCTGATTTTAAAGTAAGTTAGAACATGTTTGAGAGCTCTGAAAAAGTACCATGGACCCTCAGCTATGTGGTCAGTGGATACACTGGCCTTTGTGGGGACCCGGGTTAAGGCAGCAAAGGAAAAGCTTGGGCAAACCTGGGGAGGTATAGCCAGCCTGCCCTTCCGAAGGCCCAGGGTGCAGGTTTGCAGCTCTTTGCCAGGTGTATTCTGTTCCTGCAGCCTAGAGCCTGCCTGGAACAAACCCCAGCTCTGTTGGTCCTGGAGCATGGGAGTCCCACTTCTGGGGGAGGTGAGCTCCACTGCACTGCCTGCCAGGAGCTGAGCCCCATGACCTGGGCCTGGTTCTTCTCTTCCGATCCAGCCCATGCTGGTGACTCTATCCCCTGTCTGGTGTCTGCTGCAGGCTGGCCCCTGGATGGTGTTACAAGTCCCTGGCCCTGTAGGGTGTTGAGCAGCTTTCCCATGCTAGTGATATCCCCTTTCTACAAATGATGACATTAAACATGTCTCCAGCACTGTCCACCATTTCTTCTTGGACCACTCTTAAGTCAGTTAAGTTGAAAAATCACTGGACCTTCGGGTCTGCTTACTGCACAGGGAGGACTGGGCAGAGCGAGTTGCTTTGGAAAGCCCTGTTAATGATACCCGCACCTGAAGACGACACCACTTTGGAGGACGAGAGGGTCATGCAGGCCCTCAGTAGGGTGGGGACCCCTGATTCTGGTGTAGAGGATGAGAGTGGCTCAGGAAGTGGCCTGCTGGGAGTCGGGTGAGAGGAAGGACTTTTGGAAGGGGCCTGTGATCTGGGATGGGGGAGCAGGGTGGGATGTCACCCCCAGACCTAAACTCCTTTCCCTCCCTGGGCATTGGGATTGTCCTGTGAGACCCGAGGACACTAGGGCATGTCTTCTAGAGGATTCTAGCACTGGCACCAGCTGAACAAACCAGGGCAGACTGTAGGTTTCTCCTCCCTACCTCTTCTGCCCACCCCACTGGAACTATGGATTTTTAAACTGTTTCTAGTTTTTTTGAGACTGAGTCTTGCTATACAGTTATAGTTCAGGCTGACCTTCAACTCACCACATAGCTGAGGCTGACCTTGAGCTCTCGGCAATCCTCCCACCTCTGCCACCTGAGTACTGGGGATTATGGGTGTGTGCCACTGCGCCTGGCTACAGCATCATAAACATTAAAAAAATTTATTTTTTTAAACTAAAGTCATACATATTTGTCATGTGTTTGCTCATGAGACCTCTCAGCCTCATCTCATGCCAGAGAGTGACTTTCTTCTCTGATCCCCAGAGATGCACCCCAGATTTCCTCAACTGTCACGGTGATGGTTTCACTAGGTGCTCACAGGAGGCCAGGCAGGCACAGCTCTTCCTAGGCTCAGAAGCAGCAGGCCCTGGCTGCCCCACCGCCCCCTGTGCAAGCTTTCCTGCACCTCCTTGGTTCTCTCTGCTACTGCTCAGTGGCTTGCTTTGAAGTCTGTCATTTCGCAAAAATCTTCCTTCCTCGGGAAAAGGATTAGCAAAGCTACACAGCCGCTGCTGCTATTTAACATTCGGGAAATTCAGCAGTGCATGTTCGAGTTGTCAATCATCTCTGCCAGATGGCAAATGGATCCCTTTTAACTAGAAACTGAGCAGCAAACATCTGAATTCATTACCAACACAACATTGAAATTCACATCTATTTTCAATTTGACATCCTTAATGAGTTAGTGCAATGAAAATCAGTATCTCAGTCTTATATTGTTGACTGTTTTCAACAGTTCTAAGAATGCAAACCTGGGACTGAAAAAATTGTCATTAAACAAAATCTCACAACTTTTTATTTTTGGTATTGGGAGTGTGAACTCAAGGATTTTGCAGAGATGTAACCCAAGGCAGTGCTACAACTTGCAATGAATCTTCCTGTCTCAGCCTCCCAAGGTGCTAGGATTATAAGTGTATGTTTCTATGCCCAGCATAATTTGCAATTTTCGTATACTCTAGCTATAATGTTAGTTTTTGGCCTCTAACACCTGAGAGTTCTATATTCAGAATGGGCTAAGGGGTGGAACATAATTCTAGTTGTTTGTTGGTATCTGTGTTAACATCAACATTTAAATTTAGTATTACCTTTCATTTGTTTAAATCAATGAGTTCTCTACTTTGTATTTTTTAGACAAGGTCTTGCTATATAGCTCCGGTTGGCCTTGAACTCACTATGTAGCGGGGCTGTCTCCAACTTGAGGCAATTTTCCTGCCTCAGCCTCCTGGATTATAGACATGCACTACCACGCTTGGCTGTCTTTATGGGATTAAAGCCCATGGGGTAAAAGGATCCATTTTGATACTCCAGTGCCAAGGTACAGATTTCTGCCCAATCAATGTTCCCCAAAGGCTTCTGAGATCTGGCCTTGGCCAGTCATCATCAAATTAAATGGCAGCCTTGGCTGGTCTAGTTTCTGTGCACTCAGGTTGAAAGGTGTTTGTTAGGGGTAAACTGTGACCCCCCAACTTATGTGTTCAGGTCCTAATCCCCAAGGCCTCAGATGTGACTGTATCTAGGGACAGGGTCTTTAAAGAGGTGGCTAAGGTAGAATGAGGTCAGTCAAACTGAGCCAAATCCAGTGTGGCCCAGTGTCCTTCTGGGAAGGGGGAGGAACTCAGGCATCAGTGGAGAGGTGACCTTGTGGGACGGGGCAAGGCTGACCCTGCAAGCCAAGGCAGGGTGGCTGCACAAGAAACCAAGGTTGCAAACATGGCACTTGGACTTCTGGCCTGCAGAACTGTCTCCGTGGGGTCTTACTACAGCAGCCCCAGCAAAAGCTGCAGGGGTGCAGACTATAGGACAGTGCAGAGTTTAAACTACATTCTCCTCACTATTTCTAATTAGCAACCAACAGTTGCCTCTGGAAGGCAGGCTACCTTCCATCCGGGGCGAAGAGGGAAGCACCCGAGTGTGCGCAGCAGTGCTGAAGCAAACGGCCAGCGAGCAGCAAGCCCTGCACAAAGTGCAAAATCAAAGCTAGGAGAGCGGGTGACCTGCTCTGGCCCCAGACTGCTGCCCCCTTCTTGCCATTTCCCAATGATGGGGTAGAGAGAACAGTGGCTGTGGTGCTGACCAGCAGCCAGCTAACATCTGTGCCTGGCAGCTGGAAAAGGGGCTGTTGAGTCAGTAGGATTGCACCTCGTACCTGGGGGGAAAGCGAGTCATGTGGTATGGTGCAGGAGGAACAGGAAGCCTCAGGGCCTGGGAACTCGCTCAGTGCTCTGGAGAGCAGGGGTAATCAGGGTGAGGCTTACCGTCCCAAGGAGGGAACTACAGAAAACCCAGCAGGCGCAGACCTGCAAATTAATCTAGTCACCCAGGTGAATCAGCAAGGGAGAGGGCGACCTGCTTTTGCTCAGGCTGCCCCTCCCCTCTCCACTGGGACCCCAGCCCAGGAGGCCCCACCAGGGTTGCATCTCCTCCTCACACACCTTTGTGGCCCACTCCATTTGCTGCTCAACTGGTAGTCGCAAGTCAAAGCAGAACCTGCTGCCAGAAATCTGCCAGCTTGGGCCGAATAATTAAGAGGACAGACATTCAAGCGTATTCCTTTTAAGATAAAAACTTTATTGTACAATTTTATAAAGCAGCTTTACGTGAAGCACAGACAATCCATTTACTTTGTATAGAAACAAAATACCTTTCCATCTGCAAAAAAATCAAGTTCTGCTGTATAGAAAACTAACATGTGCACCTTGTGCTTAAACGGCAGCGTCTGCACAGCCTTACAGAGGACCACCCTTCGGAAGGGCATCCGGTAAACACTTTATTGCATATTTAACACATGGTATAGAACACACATGTAGCACGGAGGAGTAACAAGACAAATGACTAACAGAGGTGGAAATAGCAGCTTTTAGTGAAGGTTTGCATACATAATGGGAGGGAGGGACGGCCGCTTCCAGAGCGCTTTGCTGGGGTCAGTGCTGAAGTCGCTCCCATCCGCTGGGTGGCTCTCTACGAAGCCTCTATGTATAGTTTATTTCATAGAGTGTAGATGTGACCTTCACTTGGAAACTTTTGGCTGGTTTTACAACTGAAGTGGCCACAGATTGAACATTAAAGCTAACTTAAGCAGGGAAAAATGACAACAAAAAATTCCAAACAGACCAAAAAGCCAAATACCTATAATCTTAAAGAAACATGGAACTTTAAATACCCTCCCTATTCTTTAAGCTCAGCATCAGCAAGCTTTTGACAGGAACTGGAACTCTACAAATGCTGTCGATGCTGTCTAGAGGCTATCGTATGGTACTCGGTCGCAGGCAGGGTTCAGCCCACCCACGTTGGAGTCACCCACATGCTGGCTCAATGCAGGGTCTCCTGCTCGCTGTGCGCAGGTAACCCCAGCATAACTGGAGAGGAAATGGGCAGACACACTGAGGGCCTTGGAGCTGCATCCGATGAATTCCAGGCCAACACTAAGGTGTTCTGCAGTTTGACCAGCCCTGGTCTGTACAGACAATGCTGCTATGGGTTGACCTCATCTCCTCCAAAAATTCTGGGATTAAAAGACAAACTGAGCCGCTGCTGCGATGTGGGAGGCAGTGTAAAGCCAACAAGGAAACGGCAGGGCCACTGCTGGGTCAAAGCCTCTCCATGTTGGTGGCGAAGGACAACCACACTGGTAAGGCACTGGACTCTGTCCTGGGAGCAGGACCACCGTCCCTGCTGACTCCTCTCATCGGAAGCCCAGCAGAAGGATGCAGAGCAGAAGTCCGCACCGCTCTAAGTGGTGACATACATGGAGTCTAAAAGGTCCGGACCAGGCAGTGTCTAACATTGGCATTGAAAATAAAAGTGGAAGAGTCCTCATTTTTATTGTGGAGACAGTAATATGTGGACATTCAAATGCTGCTGAGCAGCTAATGTGCAAGGACTCAAAGCTCAAAGGCTGGGGACCCCACAACTCACAACTGTTCGTGTTACGGGCAAAATGAAGAGCTGTCACATAAACTAGGAGTTCAAGCTTACTTTTCTACGTAGGGCCAGCTTAGTATTGTCTTCAGTGTGGGGCCATCTCTTCTTCACTCCTGCCTCTCTGGATGCTAATAAGTGTGTTTAGCATACATACCACACACATAAATATGTGTGTACTTTCCAGTTTCTAAGTAGTGTCTGGTGGGCTGAATCCGATCACCATACAGTATGGAGCACGTAACCCACCTGGCCCTTACAGGTACATCAAAGGTCAGACATACTGCCCCATGTCTCTGTCCCTTGAAAATGTGGGGTCTCGTATTTCCAAACTGTATGTGACAGTATCGATTCAGGTATCGATTCTAGTATACCCTAGAACAAAAATCATAGCAAATTCAACTCTGGTTGCTGGTTTGAACTTCATGTCTGAGGTCCAATGGACATGGCCCTAGCCTACGGGCTATGAAACCTGCTTAGGGAGGGTCAGCAGGAGCCACAGCCCGAACAGAGATCTGATTATCAATGGGCAGCAAATTAAGTAGCATCACTTTTATTTAATAGCTGGAATAAATTAAAATTTAATTTCAAAGAAAAAAACGACAGAATTAACGATTTGGAAAGTGACAGTCAAGAATAATCTAGACAGGAAAAAACTGTGACTCCCACGTGATATTTAACCCAATATTTTTCCTTAAAGGGAGAAAGTCCCATAAGGGTAGGCTTAAAATAACTAGCTCCTTCCCAAGTTCAGGATGGTAATACATATGCCACATAATGGCCCCAAATGCCCCCCCAAAGTGGATAAAACTCAGCATAGTCTGAAATTAAATACAAAATTCTCAATAGTGAAAAACCACCATCAAGCGAGGAACAGCTTGATTATCAAACTTTTACTGATTGTAGGTCAAGTTTCACAAATAACATTTTTGTAACTTCTTGTGCAGTCAGTAAGTTTCATTTTAAATTGTGCTTACGTTATAGAACTGTGAAGCCTGAACATCATTTTTAATTTACACATTTCAAGAAAAAAACCCATAATTCAAAATATTCTCTGCATATAACAAATTGAACAAATGCAACAAATGCTCATTCGCTCCCAAGAAGCAAGTCTACAGGAAAGAGACATGTTTTTCAATAGTTGTACACAGACCTCTACCCAGGCTACAAATACACAATTACTGCATTACAGCATCATTGTTTTAAAGTCTGCTTTCAATATAAATATAATAGTCACATTTTAAAAGAGCTCCATACTACATGCGAGACAGCAGCCAGGGAGAGACACTTCGTGGCCTCTCCCCATCTGATCTCACAGTGACAGGATGGCCTGTGGGACAGCGAAGAGAAGGTGAAGACACGTCTGTGTCAGCCCCTAGACTACACTCTCAGTTCTGAACACCACCTACACTCCTAAACACCCAGCCATGGAATGCAATTATTTTGGAGAGTGTTTTTAAGGATCACTTAGCACTTTGCTGTCATCCACAAAACTTCATATGTGACCTTTTAAAATGTGCCTGTGCTCCGCACGGAGCCAGAGCCCGCGGTCTCTGGTCCCAGGGGCTGAGCGCGGTTTTGGTTGTGAGCTCTAATTGTGCTTTGCCCTACCGCCCTTCAGGTAGCTCTTCCACCTCTTGACAAATTCTCTGAAGATGGGGGACTCGTCGATGGTGCTGAGCAGCTGCAGCTGGTTGATGTGTGTGGTGTGGTAGTCCCAGCGGGCCAGGTTGGGTGCGATGCCCAGCATGAAGTGTCGGAGGTCATAGATGGTTCCTGAGCCAGTGTCATACAAAGGCAGCATGGCTTTGAGGGACTCCATGCCACGCTCATACAAGGAGTTCGCTTCTTTGCCAAGCTTTTCCCCTGCAGTTTCTTTTAAGTCATACAGCCCAATTAAGGAATACATAAAGCCATTTAAAACAAAGGAGCTGGGGCTGGTTGGGTACTCTTCGTACCAGTCATGTTTATTCATAAACACAGCTTTGACTCCATGTTGCTCGGACAGAAACTTGTAAGGGGCGATTGCCCTTAAAGCTGAGTTGAGGAATGTGTGGTCTTTTGTTAACAGATACGCCCTGACCAGTGTGGACATGGCTTGCCCCTGGGCCATGGCAGAGTACCAGCCTGGCTCTAAGGCCTTAAAGCCCTCCCCTAACTTGCGGGTCACCATGATAGGCCAGCCCCCCTTCTCATCCTGGTTCCTGACCAGCCAGTCGCTAGCAGCGAAGAACGCGGCCATGTGGGCTGTGGTAGAGATGGTGATGTTGTCTAGGAATCCCTTCCCCTTCGCGATCAGCCGAACCACCTTTTTGGGCATTATTTTGGTTGGCTTGACGGCTTTTGTGTTGGAAAGACCCACGCCTTTCCTGAGGTCAGTGACCAGGTCCCTGGTCACCGTGCTCCATGAAGTTCTGGGCCCAATCCCATAGTACACGTCTCTTTCTTTAAAAGCGATCAGCTGCGTGTTGGAGACATAATGTACAGTAAAGAGCTGATTCTTTTCTGTGGTCTCGAGAACCACCGACACACTCCCATTTGTCAAGAATTTGAGGTCAAATGAGATAATAAAATCTTTCGTGTTTCCCAGTTGCAAGGACACGCCTTCACTGGTTTCTGCAGAGGGGATATAGCAACAGAGAGGCATTAACATCGGAGTACTTAGTACTTCAGCACTAAGTAACTGCAGTTTATCCTTGACAAACTGGATGAAATTACTACATGGCAAACTATATAAATTCTCTAGCTGGGTACTTTGCAGATCAGATTATTTTTATTTGTCATTAAACTATTCATTAACAAATAATAGAACTGACAGGTTCGTGATGATTTCTGAGTATCAGGCTAAGAATTGTTGAGACCACCTCAAGAATTGTACTATATCAAAAAAAAGCTCATCTGCCATCTGATTTGAAGGATTCAGAGCAAATAACTAACGTACCAACAATCAAACTGTCTCTTTTAGATGTAGTGTCAGTGATCAATAATCAGTGACAATTCTACCATATCTATTTTGCAAGACAAAGACGAAGACAAAGAAGACGAAGAAGCAACAGCAGCAGCAGCAGCAGAAGGAAGATCATAATCAGCACATAATATTGACTCAGCACATAATATTGCAAACACCAGGCTGGAACCTTTAGAATGAATAGCTGCATGTGAATTTCCACAGCATAACTGAATTAATATTTAGTATGTGCTTATAAATGCACTAAGAGCCTCACATATGCCACCTCCTTCACACGCTCTCCATTACCAGAGTCGCGGGGACTACTCTCAGCTGAGGGTGAGGACAAAGACACAGCAGTGAATGCCGAGGCACAAGGCGGGCAGGTTGCTGCTTTGTGTCCTGAGTGCGACAGGAAAGTGCGTTTGTTTTCAATACTCCCTGGAGTTAGGACAATTGGCGCTGAAGCAAGGGGCTCACCTGCAAGCTAAAGAGTAAGGAGGGGTGGGGGAGCACAGGCTGTGGAATAAAAGCCTTAGACTTGGTTTCCTAGTCCACTACTAGTTTTAGGAACAGAACACACACTTCTCTGGTCTCCGTTTCTTCACATATAAGAGAGAACATTACTGTGCAGGGCAACTGTGAGAATTCAAAATACATACAGATTATCTCTCATTTGATCCTTAACATTAGAGGCTGGTAAAACTGAAATTCTTTTCATGTCACAGCTGGAGATATGCAAGGGTTGGGAGGTTAAAGCACTGTCCAAAGGTCAAAAGCTAGTTAGTGGCACAGCAGGGTATAAAATCCGTTTCCTGATCCAAGGTTCACCGACTCTTGGGGGGGACAAATGACATTGGGAGTGGCATTCTTAAGACATCAATCAGTGAGAAGGGTATTTCTCAGACACAGTCGTAAAATCAGATCTTGGCTCTGGACAGTCCTTGAGGAAGCCTTCAGTGTGTCACCAGGAATTAAGATGAGAAACATGGCCCTGTGATAATGGGTACAGCAGGAACAGTGCCAGGGCGCCCAGCTGACCATTTAACTCCTGCAACACTGGAGTCCACCAGCATGGCCACCTGTGGCCCAAGGCGCTAAGTCAGAACAGCTGCATCTGCCGAGCGCAGCAGTTATGACAGCCTCCAGAACCTGACGCAGTGAGAGTGCTTTGAGTGACTTAAAAATTCATCTCAGAGGTAAACTTGTAATTCAGTAACAGCTCACGTTACCTAGCAAAATGTCAACAAGTGCTCTGCTTTAACCTGTATTTCCTGCTTCCACCATGAAACGGCTTCTGAAGCTCAGCATGGCTTCACTGATGACTGCAGTGTCCTACACTGACTTACAAACCACGCGAGCTGAGACTGTGCAGCGGAGCAGACGACTCCAGTCCTCACTGCTGAGTCGACACCTCATTCATCACACAGCATCATTAGCGATGACAACTGTTCTGGGCAGGCTGGGTAACAATGGCCCATCTTTAAAAGTCCAAATGAGATGACACTGGAAGAAAACCCATTTCCTCCCAGTGTGTGGCCTAATTCTTACTTTATTATAAAAAGTTAATGAAATGACATGGTTCAATCAATCATTTCATTGTGTCCTAATACAGCAGATCAGTCCAAATAATTCAGTAACAAATGATGTCATGGGAGGTACCTTACAACAAAAAAACAGCAAAAAACATTTAATTTTCCTACAAACATAATACCAGCAGAGGGGGTCACTGAGTCATTCAGCAGTAATGACACAAGTCCCAATCCTCAATTTAAATTAAGCAGTCAACAACCAGAGCCTTCAGACACACACACACACACACACACACACACACACACACACACACACGCACGTGCACGCGGGCGCGAGCACAGCTACACACCCTGCCAGCACTGCTCAGGAGGAAGTGAAGGACCCAAATGGAATGCTGCGATGACAGTGTGAAAATGCAACCGGCAGGGCTCCTTGCTCTCTGGAAGTGTGATGCTGTGCGGGGAGGCCCTGCTCAAATCTACTAGCAGAGAACTTTCCTTTTCCTGTTGTTTGAAATTCATGGCCCCGCCCTCTCCGAGCAGGTGTCACCAGGAGCTGCTGTAGTTTTTATGCTTGGTAAGTAGGTATATACCTTACACTGCAAAGGGTGATACACCTTTAGAAGCAGTCCTGATACTGGTCTCGTCAATGATTTTTTGATTTGATACTAAATGTACAGGCAACAAAAGCAAAAACAAGCAAGTGGGACTACAGCAAACTACAAAGCTTCAGCACAGAAAAGTAATTCACAAATGAGACAACCTACAGAATGGGAGAAAATCCTTGCAAATCACTTACGCGATAAGGGGTTAACATCAGAGTATCAGAAACTCCCATAACTCAATGGAAGAAAAGCAACTAAGCAATGGGCAAAAATGTCTCTGAGGAAACATTTTCCCAAAGCAGACACACAAAGGGTTGAAAGGCACGTGCCACTCCTGATCACCAGGGTACTTACTGCAAACCAAAACCAGAGTGCAATTTCACCTCACACCCGAGCGAAAGGACATCACCAAAGGACACATGCTGCAGAGACACTGCTGAGCCGTGGGCCCAGGGACTCAGATGCTTGGAGAGGAGGTGGAAGCTACACAGCCTCTCTGAGCAACAGTACGGCAATTGCTCCCTAACTACAAACAGAAGCACCAGCAATCCCGCTTCTGGGACCCAGGAGAAATGAAACCTGGACTCCACGTTCGCTGCAGGATAATTCACGATAGTCAGATCATGGAGGTCACCTAAGAAGCCATTTGTAGAATGAACATCTGTGCTATGTGATTATGTAACAGATATTCAGTCTGGGCAAAGGAAACCCTGCCATTTGTAACAGCTCAGATAAACTCAAAAGCTCATGGCCTGTGGAGTAAGGAAGGCAGAGAAAGATACTTCGTGGGGTCTGAGGAGGGTGTGAGGTGAACAGTGGCTGACAGCACAGGAAGGTGCAGGAAAGGCTGGTTGAAGTGCACAGAAAGCTTTTCATTTAAACAGGAAAGTTCTGGGGATGTAAAGGATAGCACAGTGACTGTGCTGTAACTGACTCTTAAAATAGGCTGAGGAAAGGGCTCCAGTGTTCTCATCCTCCCTCAGAAGGGCAATTTTTTTAGGTGATGGATGTGTCAGCTAACGTGATCGAGGTAACCAATTCTATATATCTCTATCTATATCAACACATTGCAATGTATAATTTAATTACATAAAACTGTATTCGTAAGTTGCGTCTCGGTAAGGCTAACCAGGTCTCCCCATCCGTGTTTCCGCCTGTAACACCCATGTACTGGCGCAACGGGTTCACCCCGCTAGATGAGGGGCCCAGGCACTCGGCCTTAGAGGTGACGAGACATCGGTGGGCAGAAGAGAAGCTCACAGGGGACCTGCGCAAGGACAGCGCTGGGGCAGGGCAGGAAAGTCATTAAGGTCACAGGAAGGGCACAGAGAGGGCTGGGGAGAGGCAAGGCTGCTATAATTTAATAGAGCAGGACTAGCATAATGCTTCTATTCATTCAGTTTACAATCAGGGAGAGAAATCACTACCCAACAAAACAATAGAATATATTCTACAGATGCACGTAATGGTTCTTTAGATGATTCTCGTTTCCTTTCAGGGAAAAAAGCTCAATGCCAAGAAGTAAAAAAGCCAACAGCATGCAGCTCCTGGTCCTCCAGAGCCTGCCCTCACTACACCTACGCCCTTATACACAAGGCCAGCTGGACAGCTTTAGTTGGCTTCCCCAACCCTCCCACTGTGAAAGCCCTGCAGTAAGCAGCCTCACCTCTTGGGTGCCCTCTCCTGCTCTGTGGAAGAAAGCCTGGGGTACTCCCACCCAGTCTCCTCTTTGCCTTGTAGTCTGTGACACAGGCATGCTCAGGGTGTCAAGGCAGCTTGTCTCCCAGCTAGCACACTCAGCACAGGGATCCAACCCTGGTCAGGTGTGGCCCACTGGCTATTGGTTGCTGCCAAAGGCTTTCTTTTATGTGCTTAAACCCACCTAAGGAAGTGGTACCTCCGGCTCTGGCCATAGCTCAAAGAGGGGCTAACCCAAACATCACTCACATAGGATGTGGGAATCTAGCTACCCTATAACCCAGGGCACCTGAAAGTGCACCATGAAAACCACTGCTCTCAACAGGACAGTGTCCAAAAGACCACTCTAAGAAAACCTCTCCCCACAAGGAGATCGGGATGTGAGCTGCTATTTGCAAACCTAATCAGATCATGTATTAATCAATATAAACTAAGCTCTCTGGGTGAACTCAAAACCCAAAGTTCTTTGGTTTGGTGTAATAATTACCTGATACAGTAACCTCTTCAGTATCACAGGCTAAATATGCTTAAATGTTTCCTTATAATTTTTCACCAGCCAAGCTACTGTTTTGCAATAAGCAAAGATGCCCTATGTACTGGAATATCACAGAATGCCACAGGGGGTGGGGGGATTCTAGTCACAGAACAAAAACTAAAGGTCATCTGTTATTTGCACTGCATTAAACACTCATAAATCCACTACTTAAGGTCATGGGGAATGAGTATTGTGGCTTGAGCTACACGGTCATCAATAAAGGACAAGGAGAGCATACAGAAAAGGCCTTGTAACCTTTCCTCTCCTTTATTTACTGAATAGCTTGAGTTCTGAACCTGTCGACATTTCTCCCAAAGAGAATTAAGCCTGAGGAGCTAAGATGATTTCACTGTCTTCTTGAGTAATGGACTCATTAATTCTCATGGATATTGATCAGTACTAAAAATACATCACATCCTAATTAATGTCTTAGTAAAAGGGAAATGTTGCATAAAGTTAATTTGATTTTATAGGTGATTTTATTAATGAAAATAGTTTTATATGAAGTTTGAGATAATTTAGTACATTAGCAAAATTCAATATGAAGCAGACCTATTGGGTAATGTTACACTTTCTTTAAAAAAAAGTTCTTGGTAAAAGATATGCAAAGAGAAAGAGCTCTTCATAAAAAGTTTTCCAAATTAGGGGCTGGGGATTTAGCTCAGCGGCATAAGCGCCTGCCTTGCAAGCAGGCAGTCGGGAGTTCGATCCCTGGTACCGATAAAAAACGAAAAAGACCAAAAAAAAAAAAAAAAAAGTTTTCCAAATTAAGCTACAGTGGTACCTAGACAAGCCTAGGAGCTTGTCTATACGTTCTGGGAGTTGTGACGAGTACCAAAGCTGATGAGGACCAAAGAAATGGTTTTGCCTGCAAAGTACCATGACTGGGAGGCAACCGACACAAGACAGTCCCAGCTGGTACATTGCGTTTTTTTGGTACCAGGGATCAAACTCATGACTGCGCGCTTGCAAGGCAGGTACCTATGCTGCTGAGCTAAATCCCCAGTCCCAAGCTTCCTCTTTTAGTTGTTTCTCTTCAGGGATTTCACCTGGGTGACACTATTTATTACACATGTAAATAAATGGTCTGCTAACATGTTTATAAAAAACATTTAAATTGGGCTGGGGATTTAGTTCAGCGACATAAGGGCCTGCCTGGCAGGCACAAGGTCATGATTTCAATCTTTGGTACAAAAAAAAAAATAAAGCCAAAGAACCCAAAAACAAAAATTTTAAAAGCATATCAGATGCCATAAATCAATATAAAACTAGCAGCCACATATAGTATATTACTTACCTGGGGCAATGAACTGCTTAACATTGGTGAATCTTGACTTATCAGCCACGCTGGCCATAAAGCAGCCCTTGGGCACGGTCCAGTCATTAGTTTTGCTGTTTTTGTCTCTGTCTTCTGCAGTTTCATACACTTCAATGTGCGGGGACTTCTCAGTCAGGTTTTTGCTGTAATGACTTAAGCCATACTGTGCAATCTGGATTGGGTAGAAATAGCCTTGAGGCCCCCACTGTGTAGATAATGGCACACCTGTAAACACAAACGGAAATGAATGATCACACCCAGACAGCACAAGCCTACTCTGAATACCACTGTTCACGGTTTGACTGCTGAGTTTTTAGGGCCTTCAGCAACTTTTGAGCTTTCATAATCACTAGAAATCAGTACCAAATTAATCAGAGATAAAGTATTCATATCATTTTGTTGACAGCTATGCCACGAAAATTAGCTTTCAGAGATTCTCTATGTACGTCACTTCTGCTGTTAGCTACACATCTTTTATAATCCTGTTTCACAGAGGCAAATTTTGTACAAATTTACAAGCACATACAGGTCACCACATTTTATTCTAAATATTAATCTTGAATCTTTCTTTGACATTTGTACTTAATGATCATGCTATCTACTTATTTGACTCTCCAATGTCAAAGTATGATGTAATAATGAAGTCTGTCATTTGACAGCTAAATTTTTGCTTAAGAAGACAGTTATACCCAGCGACCTAAACATAAACACAGTTTGAAATTCTTTTTCATGTCCTTCCCATCCAAATGTAATTCTTGTATGGACACGATGGCCCACACCTGTAATTCCAGCACTCTGGAGGCTGAGACAGGAGGACTGCTGTGTGTTCAAGGCCAGCTTGGGGCATCCAGGAACTTCAAGGGCAGCCTGAGCTACACTGTGAAAGCCTGCCTCAAAATAAACAAATGAACAAAAAACCAAAAATCCCTCAGAAAATAAAAAATACACTTAGGAACAAGGAGTATTCTTTTTTTAAATTGAATTAAAGTTTTATATTTGACTACAAAATCTTAAAATAATCCATTAGTAGATTATCTCAAGATGAAAGCAAAAATGTCAGTATCTGGTATTAGTGTTTTAATCAAGTCCTACTAATATAGGGGAATGAAACTCTCAACCTACTGTGCCTGATACAAGCTTGTGTTCTCTAAAATCGAAGAATGAATCTTAGGAACAATGGAGGTTAAGAGCAGAATATATTTACTGAGAGAAAGAAAAGCTTCTGTCTAAAGAGAGACAGAAGAGGTCCCAAGCAGGTTGCCAAGGACTCTTGTCTTTTCCAGGGACTTTTATAGAGTAAACCATGGGTTCAAGGTGGGACATAACTATAGTTAGCCAATAAGATCAATAGTTCAGGTAAAACTGATTACATTAGGAACAAATAGGGAAGCGAATCATGTAGAAAGCTAGAAAGCGGGCATTTTTACAGAGCTGCGACTCTTCCCTAGGAGGATAGAAACTATTTAGGGTATCAATCTCAGGATATGGGTGCATTTGTATGGTCTTTTGTCTTGAGAGGCATCAGCTTCCAGGCAGCTTCCAGGTGTCTGCACTGACTCCATTGAGGACCTAGCCCTATCTCACTGCCTGTAATATTTCTAACTAGCTCAGCTGCCTGCAACACTACCTGGGGCTCACATCACTACACTGCAGAGTAGCGTACTGTTGAATCACGTACGCTTTGAGAGATGAGCTGTTATCATATTTGTTATCCTACAAAGAACTAACAAGTATCTGACTGGCACAGCAGAGACTGGGGTCTACAAAACTGTGTGTTTTAATGCAACTTCTGGCACTAGGGGCAGCTACTCTCGGTATGGTGCGCACCTGCTCCCCGACACCTCACATGCTGGAATTGTGGCCCCAAGTACCCTGGTGTGGAGGTGAGAAAATAGGCTGGGATTTTCCTCAGGAGTCAGTGCGATCCTCCCAGGACTGCAGTCAGTTTTCCCAAAGGTCTGTTACAAAAAGTAAGATGGCCAGCTGGCCCTGTGCCCTGGCTCTGTCCCACCCTGCGACCTCTCACTCTCATGGCACCACCTCCAGGCTGCCACCTGGGATTCCAGCCATGGGGACAGCTGAAGACACCACCAAACTACCACAGCAACACCTCAGGTCACAGATGCTTCATCCACAAATTCTTTTTTTTTTTGCCTTTTTCGTTTTTATCGGTACCAGGGATCGAACTCATGGCTGCCTGCTTGCAAGGCAGGCGCTTATGCCGCTGAGCTAAATCCCCAGCCCCTCCATCCACAAATTCTGCAATAGGTGACAAACATGAGCATGTGGCTGTCTTCCCATACTAACACAGATGGAGCCAGCCTCCTCAAAATTCACTGTACTCTCCCAACCCTCACACCGGAAATACTGTTAAAAGCAGGACAAGCATATATCTAACAGCAAAGACCTTCAAGGAATATACTAAAATGGTAATAATTATCTGGAGGAAGTGAGAATATAGTACAGGTGAATTTGTCGCTTTCCCCCTTGTAAACATTTATTAAAAACATATAAATAATAAACAAAGGGGAACTTCTGCATCAGAATATACAGACTTCAATCCTTTTCTTTCTTTCTTTCTTTCTTTTTTTGTCTTTTTGAGAAAGGATCTTGCTGTGTAGTTCAAGGTGGCCTTGAACTCACTTTGTAGCCCAGGCTGATCTCGAACTTGCAAGGATCCTCCTGCCTCAGCCTCCTGAGTGCTGGAATTACAGGTGTGTACCACCATACCTGGCTTCCATTTCTAATGTGGGGCACAGATATGCTCACTTCAGATACAGGCCGTACGCCTTGGACCTGAGGGAGTCTGAAAACATCCACATTGCCAGGTAACACACTTCATTTCACAGGGAAAATACACAGTAAGTGGAAAGCTTGTTTCGACACGTATTTTATAAATAAATACTAAATCAAGCCTAGCATTAGAATGAAAATTGAAATTAGAAACATTTTTTATAACAAAATACGGAAAAAGAAATAAAGCCCAAACCAATCTCAAAACACATTATTTACTCAGTTTAAATGATATATTTTAAAGGCATATTCAATTATTTTTCCTGGTCAATCCGACATTTGAAAAGCCAGTTCCAAAATACACTAACTGTATTCATCAGAAACTCCGAATGCCTCCGGTTTTTAAAGAAATGAAGACCAGTACATACAGACTATGGAGGCTGGTGAGAGTCAGGACAAACAGTGCCTTTTGATGACCTTGTGCTGAGGCCTGGAAACCCCGTTCCAGAGATGACACCCATCGACCAAGCCACAGGAGAGCACTGGGATGAGCACGGGCAGCATGGTCTCTCCCTTTCCCAGCTCCTCTGGCAGGGTAACGCGTTAGCTCTCCGTCACCATGACACAAGGCCTGAGGAGACCCACTGAACTAAGCAAAGCCCTCCTTTGGCTCACGGTTTTTGTCCACAGCAGGTGGCTGGTTCTACTGCTGTGGGCAGAACACTGTGGCACAGGGCGTGGGGAAGCCAGGCTGCTCAGGAAGCAGAAAGGAGGAGACCCAGCTCCACCCATGACCCACTTCCTCGAACCAGGCCCTGCCTCCTGAAGCCCATTACCCGAGGCCTCATGGTCTCACCCCACACAGGCCTGGCCTGTGGATACTGCCGCAACAGGGACCAACCCTGAGCATGAGAGCTGTCAGAGGACACTTCAGATTCCAGCCCTAACAGGCAACTGTGCATTTGCAAGCAAGACTTGTGGGCATGTTGCCTTGCCCTCAGCAGTGAGAAATCCAGACTCCAAGGCGGAGGGATGAACCAATCCATCTACTCAGGCAGGTGGTCCTGTGGCTCTGAAGTCTCACGACTGCGAAAGCTGCCCTAGTTTCAGACCTAACCTATCCTCCTCGGTGGGGCAGAGCATTGACAGCTCTCTTGTCATGACGTGGGTACCCACTATGTAACTAACAGCGACAGCTTCTAACACAACCAGGCTACACTCTGTTCCATTCTGTGAGATAGTAGCAAGTCTGAGGGTATAGGCAACTACTTTGAAGGCAATAAGATTCACAAAGATGCCCATTCTGGTTTGACTATTGTCTCCTTTGGAAGTCCTGTAATGTTTACAATCCCTAAGTTTTATTGGTCTTGTTCTCTACTGTTTTGTCCAACTTTATAATATCTAATGAGATGGACAATTCCTTTTAAGGAAACAAGAGACAACGTTGATAACCATTGTCAATAACCTTGTACTCTGTTCTACATCATGTGCTATGTCTATCCTTGGTTTTGACTGACAGCTTTGTTTTGCCATATTTGACTTTATTCTCCCCGCCCCAAAAAAGTAATAAGAACTAAGGAGTAATAAAATCCAAAATGTGTAAATTTTGTTGTAAAAAAGAGAGGGAGGAAAAAAAAAGAGCTCTAACGGATATAACAGCAAGTGTGTTTAGGGGTGTTAAATAGCTGACTATATTAATGTTTTTGGATCATTGAACACAGTTGTTTGCAGTCTCTCTGTTTGAATGTCTACTTTATATTCTTTGATACTGTGATTTGAGCAACTATCTCCAAGATGATATTATGTAATCTATTAACAGGTGATTTCTTACTGTTATGTTTTTTTTTGTAGTTCTGTATTATGTGTAACCTTACACTGCTTTGTTTTGTTTTGTGTTTTTCTCTTTTTCCTCTTAAAAAAAAAACAACCAGGCTACAAACACGCAGACAGCACAGACAGACACTCACCTTCAACTCCACTTATGCACTTGACTCTATCTCGAACCTCCACGTTATAGCCTTCAAAGGACATAAACACCCCATCGGGGTGGTAAGGGGCCCTCTGTGTGTAGACTTTGGAATAGCTGTGCGAGAACTCAAAGCGCTCGTAGCCATCATACTGAACCACCTTTCCATAAACGTCGAAGTATTTCTCGACCCACGTGAATGGAAGGAAGACTTCGCTCCCCTCTCGTCTCCCTTTAATTGTGTGTTCATCATTTATGAGACAGTCAATTTCCTCATACTTGAGCCCTATTGCCTTGCTTCCCCCATTGCTGTTGAAACCCCCCACAACAGGGGGCGCTTTCTGCTGCTCCTGGGGAAAGGCCTCCTCCGAATGCTGTCTGGCCCCATGGTTCAAGTAGTGGTTACTCTCGGAGGCTGCTGCTCTTTTTTCCAGTCCGTCCACTCTGAAGCCGCTGTTCAAATGGCGCGGAAACTGGATGGCTCTGTCGCTGGAGCACTTATTCCACAAAAGTACTGTGACCAAAGTGAAGAGTGCACAGATGACAATCAAAGTCTTATAGTTGACCCGAGCTGCCAAGCAACGCATATTCAGACCATACCTAGGAGGCAAGGGGAAAATTCATATGAAGACGTATTATTGACATTGCGTAGGGTAAGTATTTTTACCGAACAACCATATTAGCTCAGTATTATTAGGTACTTGTAAATTGATCAAAGACGCTAACTCAACTTTTCAGCAGAACAAAGAAAAGCCGTGTTCTGCCCTTTAGTAAAATGCTCAAACAGCGTAACCCTCTAGCGCAGGGACATCTGCACTGCCTTGCCCTGTGCTCTCTAGTATTCCAGTGTGTCTCTCATCACCCCACTATGCTGAAAGAAGTGCTCTCTCGCTTCATGTGTGAGTAGTTAAGACCAAGTAACTTAAATATGTATGTCCTAATATCTTAGTAGCTGTCTGGAGAAAGCCACATGGAGCTTTTTAAGGAATAACACCAACATCTATGATGCCAAACCCAACTGAGAATTTTTATGTGCTCACACTACGTAACTTTAGCAACACAACATGACACGACACCATGGTCTGTAGACTTTTCTTCTTGAAGCTTTCTTCCCCTGGTTTCTGGAGCACCACACTCATGGCTCTCTCACACCAGCTACTCCTTGTCTTCTTTGAGGCCCCTGCCCTGGCCGCTCCTGAAATGCTGCCACACTTCTCTGTGTTCAGTCTTCAGGGCTCTTTCCCATTCATTTTCCAGCGGTCTCTTTACACACAATTTATATGCTGACTACCCCCAAACCCTACTCTTCAGGTCAGACCTTTCTTTGGCATTCCAGACCCTTGTGTACCTCCCAAGTTACTGACATCTTCACTGAGGTCACACAGATTTCTGAAAAACACCCACAACCTCATCTCTTCCGTCAGCCCATTGCTCTCTCCTTACTGCCCATAAGAAAACCCTCGACTCCTCCCCTGCTTACCCTGTCCAGTCATCAAGAATCTTGTTGGCTCTATCCTTGGATTATACCAGAATCTGAGCTGTCTTCACTAACTCCACGGTGCCCACTGTATCGGAGCCACTGTTGTGTTCAACCTGGGGTCTTGTAGGGATAACCCCATTGGGCTCTCTGCTTCTACCTTTGCCTTATATCTAATCTCAGCACAGTGGTCAAAACGAGGCTTTGCTTTCGGTTTAAGTCACATGATGTCATTTCAGTCCTGGTGGGAGAATCTGATGCTGCAGTCTTGTTGGTCACTGGGTATGATCACAACCCAGTGAGGAACATGAGAAAGTATGCTAGTCACCTGGGCAACACACAGCAAATTTTGATCTGCTGAGTAAGGGAGCAGTCCAGTTGATGCTGGCCGGTATTCTGTCATCTACTGTACGGTGTGAATCCACTGCTGCTTACTGTACTGTGTGCAACCCCTCCTTATTCTCCCTACAATGAGCATTTTTTATAGTAATGAGGTAAAAATACAAACCTAAAATGAAAACAAAAAAAATTTTTTTTAAATTGGTACCGGGGATCAAACTCACAACCGCCTGCTTGCAAGGCAGGTGCTTATGCCGCTGAGCTAAATCCCCAGCCCCGAAAACAAATTTTTTTGAGACAAGGTCTTGCCTTGCTATGTATTTGGGGCTGGCCCAGGCTGGTCCTGAACTTGAGACAATCCTCTTGCCTCCAACTCCCAAGTGCTGGGATTACAGGTGTGCAGCACCACACCAGGCTTCCAAAGAGAACACCGAAGGGAAAGTTACATGCTGAACTGCTGCCTCCCTCTCGGCCTCCCGAGTGCTCTATCACTAAGCTACATTCCTTGGCCCCTTTGTATTTTTTATTTTGAGACAAGGTCTTACTAAGTCGTCCAGGCTGGCCCTGAACCTGGCATCATCCTTTTCCGGTTTCTGGCTTCCGAGCTGCCTGTGTTACAGGCGTGCCCCACTGTCTCTGGAAAAATGCCTGGCTTCTGCTCCTTAAGAAAGGTGTGGGTGAAGTGAACTCACTTACGTCTTTCAATTCCAAGGGAAGATAAACTCCAGGTCACTGGATGCTTGAAAACAACTTTATTTTGCACTCATCCTTAAACAGGATAGCAGGATACGGATTCGCTGGTTGGATATTTTTTCCCCAAAGTTTATATATTTTATTCTCAAGCTTTGCTTTCTCAACTCACTAAGGTTTGACCTCAGCCTGGTACTGTATGTGCATGACTGCAGAATCTCTTGTTCATCTTAGAAACTGCACTCTAGGGTGGGTGTATCACAGGAAGACACCAGAATCTGTCAACTCTGCACAGATTGTGTCCCTTGGAGCTGAAAGTCCGTGTCTGCCTATTTTTATTTAATGGGCATGGCGTTATCTTGTATCCCTGGTATTTTTTTTTTTTAATAAAGTTATCTCAGAGGTTGTGTTTTCTTCCACTGTCAACGTTATTTTCTGGGTACTTGGTCTCCTGTTCCTGTCGTTAGCTCCTCACGGGCCTGCAGGTCTTTGGGCTGCTCCCTCAGATCCAAGGCAGAGGGACTCATTAGGCGACATGGATCTCTTGTTCCTGGCTGGTGCGCAGTCCTGCGGAGGTGACAGTGACAGTGTGCTGTGTGTAGGCCACAACAGGCTACCACAGAGCTCTCAGGTTGGGGTCATGTGAGGGAGGCATTGGGCCTAAATGCCAGAAAGATGGCTTTTCCTCTTGTGTTCTGGGAACACTTTAGAAGTCTTAGCCTTTCCCAATTCCTTTAAAGAAAACCTGTCTGGTGTTTTGCCTGGGATTCGTGCCAGCTACCTATAGTCCAAGTTTGGGGATGAAACTAACAGGTATGGTGAGGTGAAGAAAGGGTACAGTTGGGCCTTCTGGTTCCCAAATAAAGGTCCAAAAATCTGTGTCAGCCTTTGGTAGTCCTGTTTATTATTACTGATTCTTTATTCCTATATTTCATTTCAGCGGGACACCAAGAGGGAAAGAACCAAAGATTTGGGTTCAGTCCACTTTGAAAACCATATACAGGTCAAAGATGGTGGTGCATGCCTGTAATCCCAGCACTTGGGAAGCCAAGATAGGAGGATCACTAAGTTTAAAGCCAGCCGGGGCTACAGAGTGAGTTGAAGGCCAACCTGAACTACACAGTGAGATCCTGCTTCAAAAAGCCAAACAAACAAGCAAAAATCTTATATAGAAATACTGATTTGGTATATAAAACACTTAGAGATTTCTTCAGATTTTGGGACATCTGCACAAGTATAAATGAGGTATTCTGGGGATGGGACTTAATCTAACCACAAAATTCGTGTATGCTTCATACATAGTTATACCCAAAGCCTAAAGGTAATTATTTTGTACATGATACTTTTAAAGCTGTGCATGAAGCTATTTCCACTTATGGCATCATGTCGGTATTCAAAAAATTTCAGATTTTGTGGCATTTAGGATTTCCAACTTTTGGATTAGTAATACTTACTCTGTAATGTTTTATCATTTGCATTATTACTATACAAAAAATGTGTTAAATGATAAAAAAATCAAAGTGTTATATAAATATAAGTCACATATTTACCAACTGAGATTTCCTTGTAGAGGGAAGATATTTTAAAATCCTATTTTTAAAAATCCTTTATCAAAAACATGATGTGTCAATATTTGAATAATCAATGAGCTATGCCTAACATTTTGACCAATTAAAATATAAATATAAACTTCATAGTCCCACTCAGAGAACTGTACTACTCAAATGACAGTAATGTTGCTTACAGACACCTTTATGAGGAGCCACAAGATGGGGATGTGAAGAAAAATCAAAACAAACTTTCAAAACCTCAGGCACTTAGCACACACCTGTAATCCCAGCACTGTGGGAGACTGAAGCAACAGACATCAAATTCAAGCCCAGCCTGGGAAACTTAGTGAAACTATGTCTCAAAAAAAAAAAAAAAAAAAAAAAAAAGACAGAAAAAGCTTGAATACATTGCTCAGCATGAAGGCCCTGATTCAGTCCCCAGCACCAACATAACCACCACCCACCCTTTCAATAACCCTTAGCCAGCTATGTATCTGATGTCTTCCTTACAAAGGCAATCAAGGTTTCTAGGAGAAACCCATGCCACTAGAAACAAACATGCAGCTAGAAACAAAAGAGCTGAGTCACTTCCTTCCCTCCATTCAACTGTAAACATTCCACCAGCCCTGCCAGTTACCCATGCTTCTATAACCCTACCACAGGAAGGACAGTGAGCCACCTCCCTTCTCCCCACAAACACAAGACCACCCCAGTGATTACTACTCAGGTATAAACATGGGAGGTCGCACAAATTGCTGATATCAAAAGAGTGTGGGAGGCATCTAAAATCGGAGGATGTCTGACCCTATAAACACTGGGGGTCTGAGTTGCAAGGCCCCTTTTTGCCTGCTTTGCCCTTCTGCCTCTTCTGGTGCTGCCCTTTGATCTTCAATAACCCTAACACTTGGCAATTATTTTCTTGACGTGAACAAGAACCTGGACCAATCCAGCCCACTCAACTTATCAGTGCCAGGTGGAGGGCTGGGATAGCTTTCCATTCTAGACAACCAATTTTTCAAATGCTGATGGAATCATAATCTAGGGATCAACAAAGCTATGGGGGATAGCATAAAACTGGAAAGCACTGAAAACTGTCACATCTCACTGACACTGGAGGTACATTATATTCTTTTATGTATTTTGTTTAAGGATTTCCATAATTTAAAAATACTGTGTCAAGCAAGAAACACAGGAGCTGGTTTGCAAGGTCCCTTACCCTATTGTCAAAATTGTAAGGACTGTGTCTGAAGCTGACTAAAACATACTGAATCAATAAGAACTTGCCAGCCTGCAGTGATACTCAAAAAATAGAGAAAGCCAGACAAAATCGCAGGTAATCTTCTGGGCTTGTAAAAATTGGTAACTCACTTACAGATGTATTTATTTGTCCTGGCTCTGCAGGAAAACTACATTTCAGAACAAACCAACAGCCCCAGTCAATAACTTTACTTTACAGCAGGCTACCTAATAATAAAGAAAGAAGAAAAACTCAGAATTACACAATCCTTCAAGAAACAGTGATTCAGGCAAGTGTTATTCATAAC